AGAAGTGGATTATTATTACCTATTTCAATTTTTGAATGCGAGTGTTGCGCGTCGCATATGAAATGTGGCGGATTTTCAAAGGAAATTGGAAAAAGTGTTAATAAAAGTATTAAAATTTCGAGTGTAAAGCGAGGAAATAGGAACGTGTTGTCGTGTATATTTTTTTGTTCGTTTCTAGTTTTCCAGATGATGTCTATCTATAGCACTTTCATAGGCGACCCGTAACCTAAACATTTATTTTTGGATTATAAAGTTCGAAACGAATGCATTTTTTTGACGGGCGAAAGTCTAAATATAAGGAAATTGTAAACAAATTACCAGATCTGATGGGGCCGAATGCGTCAACGGTACTTTGGCGTTTTATAAACAATTTTTATGTAAATAGAGTAGCTGATAGAAACCTTAAACGAGCATGTTTTCAATTTTATGATGACTCCATTTAGTTTGCAGTCGTAGTGTAATAATTATTTTAGTAGGAGTACATTTACTAAATTTATGGCGCCGCCAAACGCGGGGCTATATCTTTACAACAATTGGCGCCTAACGTGGGGCATATCTTAGCAATAATTGGCGCCCCACATGGGGCTATATTTTAACAACAATCGGTACAGAACGTAAGTGTATGTCATAGCAAAAAGTTTGAGGGAATTTGTTAAAAGGTTGACCATTGGATTTTGATCGTAGTTGCAGTGACTGAATTTTGAACGTCATGAACGATAGAATGTCAGTGTCAGTTTCTCGGACGGTTAGCTAATTGGCCAAGTGTCCAGATGGTCGGTACGGTCAATACAATGACTTCTGTCCTCATAAGATCGACACTGGTATTGCGCCCAATTAAATTGATATCTTCGCACGGAAGCACCCTCGTAATTTCTGACACTCTCGAGCTGGGCTAGTATCGTTCAGCAGGAAATACCCGGAGGAAAGAAAAATAGTGCATTAAACCGCCGAATTAAAATCTGGAATGCAAATACCTCTAAGTTAATGAGAGGCCGTAGAAACCAATTAACACGAATAACGTTGGTAACAATTATCAAATTACGTCGGCTTAACCGTCAGATATCGGACTGATGGACTAACATAACGAGGCGTTAGCAAAAATGGGTTCACTGACCACGTGTAAAAAATTCCCATCACGAGACAAACAAACTCAACTTCGAAATCACAATTGAAGGTCAATCGTCAAAGATAGAACAGCTTCTAATTTAAAAGTTCAATCAACAACGTGCCGAATGAAAAGTTTAACGGAAAAAGAAGGAATGGAATTTTAGGAAAATGCCCTCTCATTTCTGAGTGGTTAAATTCCATCAATAGATGGCGCCATCTATCAAATCGCTTGAAATGTTACGGAGGTTCTTCAACAAGTAGTAAACCGTAAACAATAATAATGTTTCGTAATGGAGAAAATAAATGGTTACATATGTTGGAACGACATATCTCAATGGAGTATTGAAGGAAGATATGGAAGCCCCGAAGCACTTGGAGGATTATAGGAACGGAACCAAGCAAAATCAGTAAGAAAGTGAAAGAAATGCTGAAGATCATGGTTTGAAAGATTTCAGAAAGACATCAAGAGATTCGGTCTCACACCATCTAATTATGATCCGTGTGTGTTTTATTTGGGATGAGGGGAAGAGATATTTAGTCGAGATCACGTGGTTACCTCAAAGGACAAGAAACGGATCAAAGAATTCGAGATTTATCGATCCAAAATCCAAATGCTAGAAGCATTTCGTGTAACAATTGAGTTACAAGTGGTTGCCCCCTATTTCAACCCCACTGAATCGGATTCTGCCTGATTCCAAGTCTGAAAATGAACCGCCCGTGTGGAAGCTCGACTGCGGCGGTGAGGGTCCCTGGTTCGAATCCGGGTTTGGGCATGAATATTTTTTAATGTATATCGGGTTAAGTTGGTAGAACAGCCTTGGCTGAAACCCCGCCCACTTAAAAATAGCGGCCCTAATAAATATTCAATATGGCGGTTTTTGAACCACTTTGGTTCTCCGTCTACAATGCTCTCAAAAATGTCCAATTTTTACAGTTTAAGAATCTGGATCCACGTTTTTGGGGTCAAGGAACACAGTGGAGGGTACAACATTGTGACCGGATGTTGAAAACCTCGATTTTTCATATTTAGACCTAAATGACGCCAAAAGTATTGCTTTTGTCATAATGCGAGGAGTGTTATTTATTAAGTCTGTAGACCCAGTAGAAAGTTGTACCTCATGAAAAGTAGGTTCTCAAATTCCAAATCGAGTACTTCAACGTGAAATAACCAAAAAATGAAGCACTTTTCGGGGAAAACTTATGAATACTTTTTTAAAGTGTTTGAAAAAACCTTTCTTTCTGTTTTTAAGAAAAGTTCCTAGCATCAAAACTAAGTGAGTTAAAAAAGTTGGTCCTTTATTTTTGGTAAAAAAAATCGAGGAAATCACCCCCTAATTAGCACCCCAATTGTAATTAAGCGTTACCGCTTTACAGTTTATGTATTGTTTATATGATCTGTAAGTTTGGCCGGTGCAAAGTGCTTATTTTTGAAAAAATGTAGTTTTGAAGTAAAAAAATTTTGAAATTTTTAAATTGCCTTTTTTTTCAAAATAACTTCAAAAATATTAGTGATACGAAAAATTTACAAGAATAAAAAATGTAGCTTTTGCTTTTCTGGACATTTTGCTTTTTTTTTGTTTTTCTGTATAACACAAATTAGTTAAGATGTGGCTGTTCAAAGTTTGCATACACTCGTCATTAGTGACTCATTCGAGCCCTTTCAACTACAATCCTTTCAAAAATAAGGGTTTAAAAAAATTAATTTGAATAATCTCATAGCTTTTAAAAAAACCTACAAAATGCACTGATTTATAATTATAAATCAAAGTCACAATTAGTAATTCTTGATTAAAATTGTACAAACTAAATCGGTATATACACGAGGAGTTATAATTTAAATAATTTGTGTCCGAAATTTTCAACTTTTGAAATGTGTTTTTAAATTTCATGATTGATATTCTAGTATTACCCATACATCAGTGCTATTTATGTATTATTAATCATTTTTCAATACTTTTTACAATTCAAAGCATTATTGTATTATAAATAAAAAATTAACATTCATATGCAAATAAATTTTATTTTTTTTCGATTTGTTATTGAAAATCTATAGAGATCTAGTACGTATATTTCAAACAATAAGGGTTGTTTTTTTAATTGAAATAAAATAAATTCGTAAAATTTTAATTAAAAAAATTACTGTATATATAGTATCAATAAAGAAAAAAAATTACTACTATTCGAATTTCTTCGCAAGGGTTGGTTTTTATATGGGTAGAAATTATGTGGTAAAAAATAAAAATAGCAAAGAAATCTAAATTTAATGTTACTGTCTAATTAAATAAATTGCTTGAATTTACAATTATATGTTTAATAGGGATAGTTTCAACCCCTAAAAAATAAATTAAATAATCCTAAATTGCTTGAATTTACAATTATGTGTTTAATAGGGGTAGTTTTCACCCCTAAAAAATAAAAGGCAACCAACGGCACAAGTCCAATTTTGAAGTGGAGGGTAAGAATAACCTAAATCCAAATTTCCATGCAAATCAGTGGAGTTAAAGTATTCTATGACATTGTTTTAATTATTTTAGAGGTAAGATTTAGGGGTTAAACTGTGATAAAATCTTAAGTTATGTTGTTTAATGTTAATTGATATTTATTCACTCCTTTAAAAGATTATTACTCGTTTTAATTTGCAATTATATTTTTTTTTCTAATAGGGGTAGTTTTTTCCCCTAAAAAATAAAAAGCAACCCTAGGCATCCAAATTTTCATGCGATTCGGTGGAGACGCGGAAAATTACACAGTATCGCCGTATCGCCTAATAGCGGCAAAAAAACCGAATTTGGGAAATAATTCTACAACTTCGTGGAAAAATAACAGAACCTCTTAAGAAATTGAAGTTGGAGTGTTACTGACACTCTTACCAACTTAAAAGTAATCAGAAATATGGTGTAACATCGGTTAATCTGTTAAGAAGTTAAAGTAGGTTATTGCAAAAACAATGGATGTGGGGCACACCATCTTTGTTTTTGAAATAACTGAGTTTTTTTACGAAAATGATGGATAAACTGGTTCTCTTTAAAATCGTGAATAATTTTTTTAGTTTATTATGTGAAATTAAAAAAAAATGTAGTTTTAAAATTTAAGAAGGCACTTACGCCCTCTGGTGGCAATTTTTAAAACTGGAAAATATTTTCCAGCGATTCTTCATGACCGGTTTACCCTCGGGTTTACCCAATAATTTTTTTACCCCTAAGTCATACGACGAACGGTTCCCGAGATATGGCCGAGGAACAGTCTTATTGGGTCACCCGGTACATATATCTGACGTATTGCTGAAAGATTGCAGAAAAAAGTTGATCACGACCCCACCACTTTGTGCAGTAGGTATTTAACATCAGGGAAATGGGAATGTTTTTAGTAGAATTTTCCAATTTCTAAGGACTTTTTGAAGAAATTAAAGTTGGATTTCTTCCTTTCTTTCTAAATTCCGATATTGGTGTAATTCATCATCCTTAAATTTGAAAATCTTGAAACGAGAGCCTCGATCCCCACGTTCTGGATATATCTTGAAACTCTTATCAAGTGTACAGGGTGAGTCAACGATTCCGCAGTGCTAACCCTAAGGAAGGATTTGTCGAAATTATGCATATTTTAAAATATTTGGAATTATACGGGGTTTGATCACAAAGTAGACGGTCAAAAAGTTACATTTTTTGAAATGGGACACATTTTAATTTAATATAGGTACTACTACATAAACTCCAGTGGAATAGCCAAATTGGAGTACAAAAGTCTATACAAATACAATTAAACTATGTACTTAGAAATAAATATTTACTTATAGAATTCGATGTTGGATACCCTTTAACCTTTCGATTTCCCCACTATTAGGAAATCTATATTAAATAGCATATCGTCATTAAGATACGTAGTGTTAGCTTTCCAATCGCTTCGCGATGATCAAATCTTGCTTGTTACTGTGGTTCTTGCTAAAAATTTCGATCCAGTGTGTAGTGCCTAGTTTCAAAAACAACATAATAGAGGTAAATTTTCAAAATCAAACAATAAGTGGTTGTATATCACCGGACACCATTGGATTTGAAGGTACAATTTCCGATATAGAAGTAAAAAATCAAGATATTCAAGATTTAAATTACGGTGCAGTTCAGAGAATTTCAAGCAAATTTCGTATCGACTTCGTCAGTACCAACATCGATATTATAAGAGCAGGAGCCTTTTTGGATCTTCCCAAAGTTAATGTAATATCTTTCATGAGCAACGAACTTTCCTGGATCAGTGAAAATGCATTTCAAGATTTGCCTTCGTTAAATCTATTGTACCTCAACTATAATAAGATCGCCGATGTGTCGCCGCGTGCCTTTAATAACCTTCCAAACTTACAGACAGTCACTTTTATCGGAAACAATTTGGAAAATTTTGACCAATCGTGGTTTTATAAAACGCCACGTCTTCTATCCTTAAGATTGGAACAGAATCGCTTGCGTAATATTCCACGAAGTGCCTTTATCAACCTACCGTCTATTGGGTACCTATGGATTAATACAAATGAAATAGAGTTCGTCGACAAAGAGGCTTTTAAAGGATTAAGAAATTTGCAACTTTTGGATTTGTCTGAGAACAAATTGAGACGTTTTAACTTTAATTTCTACACCCCTTCGAAATTGATGGATCTTTCCATTAATAATAATAACATAACGTACATATCTGATGAAATGCTGGACATAATACGAACTAAGTTATTGGTACTTGAAGTAACCGATAATCCTTTGCAGTGTGCATGCCTGGATAAAATAATACAGTGGAGTGACGCCTTTAATATAAGTATTCCACAGAGGAAATTGCCAGAGTCCGGCGTCGTTTGTACAGTTCCAAAGACAAAACCAAGCCAGTGTCTTGAAAGAAGTGATGATGATTTCCATAAGGGATTCTGGGTTAGTTTTCCACGTGAACGCACACGATGATTTTGAAGAATTAATTACAATAGCATTGTTATTTGTTAGTTAATATAATAAAATTTACTCAAAGATCTCTTGCTACAACAACCAGGGTTTGTTCTGGTTAAGGGAAAGCTGACTAGTTCCCGATTTTTAAGCTGCCATTCACAGATATTTAAATTACGTATGTTTTAGATAATGTTTTCTTTGCTTAGTGAAAGACGAGGTGAAAGACTATAATTCATACGCTCTCCAGTGCTGAGGCAAAGCAAAGGGGTGTGTCCAAAATAAGGATGTCTGTCTATCATGGGAATCTGCGAAACCATAGAAGATATGACGCTGGTTATCAATAATTTTAAACTTTGCTAATGAAATACTGATCTGCATTACCAAAAATGCGCTTTCATGATGCATATGCTGATTTACAACTTGTTTATTACGAATACAACGATGTACGGCACACAAAACAACCAGGATAGCATAATCCATCAGAAATCATCAACAAATGTGTTCCAACACTTCACTATAAAATAAAGGCAATAAAATAAATAAATAAATAAAATTTTTTTGTATCACGAGAATATAATGTGTCAGGTGTTTCCGGTATTTCCGAGGGGGTAACATGTTCTCAAATTTTGTGACAGTATTGCGACAATCCCTACGATTTCCCGATGTACGGCACACAAAACAACCAGGATAGCATAATCCATCAGAAATCATCAACAAATGTGTTCCAACACTTCACTATAAAATAAAGGCAATAAAATAAATAAATAAATAAAATTTTTTTGTATCACGAGAATATAATGTGTCAGGTGTTTCCGGTATTTCCGAGGGGGTAACATGTTCTCAAATTTTGTGACAGTATTGCGACAATCCCTACGATTTCCCTATGATTGCTGCGATTGCGACCACAATCCGGCGATTGCGACGCGATTGTCAGATTTTAGAGGATTGCATTGTGATTGCATATGATTGTGAATGATTGCAGACGATTGTAAATGATTGCAGATGATTGTAGGCGATTGTGGGTGACTAAGAAAGATTTTTGGTAGCTGCTCAAGTTACTAGACACGGACACATATATCTAACCAGGAAACATATTCATTTATTTTAGCCATTAGGTTATTCTTAATTGGTAACATAGGTACTTACACACAAATAAAAATATAAACAAATATGTATTATGGACTATGGTATTCTCTCAAGTAATTTCAAAGTTGGTGTGTGGGTACGAATAACAAACCTCAAAACAAAGTTAAATAGATCCATTTTTTTTTTAAATCTTGAACCTATTCCCTATGTTCAGCTTGTCCTGACTTCTAAGACGAAAAGGACCATTTCCCTGCAAAATAATGGGACCATAAAAAATGTATTTCTTTGCAACTATTTGAATATCTTGCTCTTGCCAAATGTAATCATCAAGATCTCTTTTGAGAAACTTCATTTTATACGTATCACCATCTATAGTCTCTATGATCCTGCCAATATGCCATGTATCATATGCAGCAGCATAGTATTCTTCATTTTTTAAAGACAATTCACAACCTGTTTTTTCTTCTTCTTCAGAAAAACTTTCATTTTCCGTTTCACTTTTTTCTAAATAGCTTCCACTTTCAGAAGTTTCGCTATCGTTTATGCTTGGGGCCGTTTTTGACAGAAGTTTTATAGTTTTGCTCTTTTGTGAAGTTCTATTCGTACTTGGTGCTGCTTTTTTTTGAACAACTCTGCTGAGAACTTCGCATATTTTTGCATCTGAGAGTTCTATCCGAGGATAACTTCCCTTTTTTATCGGAAAACAGCCAGCACAGTGTTGATTTTTTCACCAACAAATTTTTGTTCTTGATTTTTATTTTTAAAAGGCTAGGATCGAGACTAGGGTCTAATGTTTTCGAATTGCGACCAGTGTAGTCTTTGATATCCAGTGAATCGTAGCTGGAAAGCGAATTTAATTCTTCTTCCATATCATTCAACTCTTCAATGGTATCTTCATTGAATACATTATTTTGGCTTGACAAAGCATCTTCTGATTCAGGACATTTGTACTCACAATATTCTTCAGAGTGATCTTGTTGCAAGTCTTTGGACAGAATAAAATCGGTTTGTTCTAATGCTGTAATTTGAATTGATTCCGGAAGATTCATGTCTAGTTCCTTTGATTTTGTTAAAGCATCACATTTTGCCTTTTCAAGTGTAGCCTTTATAATTTCATGACTTGGAAGTACTTCATTTTGGCCAACAGAATTACAGCCAAGTTTCTTGTTTTCTTCTCGAGGAAAAACAAAAACATCTGTAAAGAACGTATTAAATATTAATAGCATAATATTACATCTACGTTAGGCTTTAGTTTTTACATCTGTTTAATCAGTAAAAACATTTTTGATAAAAATGACCGTGAAAATATCACAAGAAACATTATAAAAATTAAATATTGATTTCAATAAACTAAGTTTAAAGAATACGAAATAACTAGGTTCCGCGGGAAATACTACATTTTAATACACACATACCATTTGAATCACTAATTATGTCATTTATGGCTTGGATTCTTTTTAGTCTTTGGGTGAAATCAAGCATGTCGAAGTTCACCATCGTTACATATGTACTTGTCATTGATCGTGTTTGGCGAAATATTTTTTCGCACGGCTGACTACTGCATAGCCAAGGCAGGAAATTAATGGTTTCGTCAGCTCTCATTTTTTCAATCAACAGCAATAGCGCATGTGCATTTAACTCGACACAAGTGTAGGTGTTTAATGTTATCCAATTTTTTCCCAAAGTGTATGATTGGTTATTTTTTATCCAAGCTCTCCAAAGCCGAAGGAAGAAAATAGAATACCATATTAGATATATCCTTCTTTCCATCAACAGTGTCTTATCCAAAAAACAATCTATAATGCTCCGGGTTAAAATTAAAAACTGTCTCGTCGCTTGAGCATCAACGTATTTGGACAGCAGATTTGTCACATGCGTAGCTGCTAATTTATCAATAGCATTAAAATTCATTTTATCCATTCCTAAAAAAATGAATGTAAATGTAGATATATTGTCAACCTCCTCGTTGTCAACATTACATACAAGTGTAAGTAAACATTTTTTACCTTCCAAGTCACTTGAAGTTAACCGATGTTTATCTTTTGGAACTTCACGTATGAGACGTTCCAAATGCGATGATGATACGAGGAATTTTCCCATTGGTAAAATTATATCAGCTTTTAACAATCTAGTTTTTAGTTTTGTGGCAATATGAACAGTGTCTTGAAACACCAAACCTACATCAAGTTAGCAATAGATTCCAGCAATAGACCTTATTTCATATAAAATAATAAAATAAAGTTTGAAGTCACCTCAAATGGACTTGCACAGATGAAGTTAAAAGTTTTTATAAAAAATTTTTTTATTAATAATATTAGGGGTTGAAAGGGGGTTAAAAAATAAGGGTAACTTTGTTGGTACAGGTTTTTTTCCCATTTTTTAAAAAGTACAATAAACTTAAAGTGCAAGCACTATAATTGTCAAAATTTCAAAATGTAACCCCGCGCCGTTTTGGAAATAATTGATTTTTTCGGTTTTTTGCGGTTATTTATTGCTAGGGGTGTAATTTGTGTGGTGCATCAAATATTTTTGTTTTCAGTTATGATTTTTATTATATGGTCTAATAGTAGTCTAATGCCCAAAAATAAAAATGTAACCCCGCGCCGTTTTGGAAATAATTAATTTTTTCTGTTTTTTGCGGTCATCTATTGCTAGGGGTGTAATTTGTGTGGTGCATCAAATATTTTTGTTTTCATTTATGATTTTTTAATAGTGGTCTAATAGTAGTCTAATGTCCAAAAATAAAAATGTAACCCCGCGCCGTTTTGGAAATAATTAATTTTTTCTGTTTTTGGCGGGTATTTATTGCGAGGGGTGTAATTTGTGTGGTGCATCAAATATTTTTGTTTTCAGTTATGATTTTTATTATATGGTCTAATAGTAGTCTAATGTCCAAAAATAAAAATGTAACCCCGCGCCGTTTTGGAAATAATTGATTTTTTCGGTTTTTTGCGGTTATTTATTGCGAGGGGTGTAATTTGTGTGGTGCATAAAATATTTTTGTTTTCAGTTATGATTTTTATTATATGGTCTAATAGTAGTCTAATGTCCAAAAATAAAAATGTAACCCCACGCCGTTTTGGAAATAATTGATTTTTTCGGTTTTTTGCGGTTATTTATTGCTAGGGGTGTAATTTGTGTGGTGCATCAAATATTTTTGTTTTCAGTTATAATTATTATTATATGGTCTAATAGTAGTCTAATGCCCAAAAATAAAAATGTAACCCCGCGCCGTTTTGGAAATAATTAATTTTTTCTGTTTTTTGCGGTCATCTATTGCTAGGGGTGTAACTAATGTGGTGCATCAAATATTTTTGTTTTCAGTTATGATTTTTTAATAGTGGTCTAATAGTAGTCTAATGTCCAAAAATAAAAATGTAACCCCGCGCCGTTTTGGAAATAATTGATTTTTTCGGTTTTTTGCGGTTATTTATTGCTAGGGGTGTAATTTGTGTGGTGCATCAAATATTTTTGTTTTCAGTTATGATTTTTATTATATGGTCTAATAGTAGTCTAATGCTCCAAAAATAAAAATGTAACCCCACGCCGTTTTGGAAATAATTAATTTTTTCTGTTTTTTGCGGTCATCTATTGCTAGGGGTGTAATTTGTGTGGTGCATCAAAGATTTTTGTTTTCAGTTATGATTTTTTAATAGTGGTCTAATAGTAGTCTAATGTCCAAAAATAAAAATGTAACCCCGCGCCGTTTTGGAAATAATTAATTTTTTCTGTTTTTGGCGGGTATTTATTGCGAGGGGTGTAATTTGTGTGGTACATCAAATATTTTTGTTTTCAGTTATGATTTTTGCGATAGCCGTTTTTTGAACATTTCAAAATTTCATCAAATGTCGACGTTTTAGACCATTTTAAGCAACTTTTAAAGAATAAAATTTTTTTCCGTCTGTATGTACGTACGTACGTACGTACGTGTTGGCAATTTTCTGAGAAAACGGCTCGACGGATTTTGTTGAAATTTTGTATATATGTTTTAGGCATACCGAACAGAAAAATAACGGGCCGGATTTTTGAAAAAAAATTTTGGAGCGCCGTAACGGCATCGAACTTTTTTTTTTCAAATAGCAACCTAAAATTTTTATTCTATTATTTGGAAGACCTTATTTTCCTGTGTACAACCTACAAAAAATTGGGCCGGGTTATATTATCAAAAAACGGAGAAAAAAATTGTCAAAGTCAAAAAATTGTGTTGCATATATGTGCAAAACGCAACGATCTTGTTTCTGAAGCAATTTAAACGAAATTTCTATGGTAAGTCCCTTTAATAAAAGCAAACAAAATTCATGCGCAAAAATCGTTTTGCGCATGCGCAGAAATGCAATTATCTTATTTATGGAACAATTAAAACGAAATTTGGATGGTAGGTCCTAATAAAAGAAAACAAAATGCATGCGCAAAAAATCGAGTTGCGCATGTGCAACATCCAACTTTCTTATTTATGGAGCAATTTTAACGAAAATTGGATGGTAGGTCCCTCTAATAAAAGCAAACAAAATGCATGCGCAAAAATCGTGTTGCGCATGCGCAGAAATGCAACTTT